TGGAAGAAGGTAATGTACACAGACGTTCATCAGCTGAATATCTAATTAAAGCACTTTTTAAAGAGGTAATCTAGTATAGAACGTTTCTTATTACTTAAGGATAAAAATATCATAATTCCGTTGCGGACGTAATTTTTTCTTGATAATGTGGTTTGCTGTTTTGAAGCATTTCTAAATATGATCCATGTGGCCATCTTCATAAGAATTGATATCCAAAAACGCATTTTTTCGGTAAATGCTCTTTGTGCATATCTTATTTTAAGGGTTTTGATGTAAACGTAGTACAGAAGCACAATTTATGAATCAACACATGAAGACACTGAAAACGATGGAGATTATGCCAGACTTTATTGGACGGTATTCAATAAATAATTATCCACTAATGGTAATATGTATGAAATATTTTGACTAAAGAAAAGGTCTTTTTATATAAGGCAATTGGTTACGTTCCGTTATCAACTTACAAAAAAATTTTAAATTTATGGTAGGGTTTCCTTGTGAGGTCTTCGAAAGGCCCTTATGTTTTATAACCACGTACTTACAAATTTCAAGTAGGTTAAATTACCCACAATCTTCCAGTTTTCTTTACGCCAGCCGTCGATCCAGCAGGGATTGGATGATGACATTGAACTGCAGAGGGTCCTCGGAAGGCCGCCGCATACAATAACGGCTTTAGTCAGCATACTAAGCAAAATTGCTTTTCGAATTAACTACGGGAATCATCGCTTATTTACACATTTTAAGTAGGGCGAAATGCCCAATCTTCAAACTTTCTTTACTAGTTTGCCTTATTTTTAATTGGGGCTAGTCGTACTACTAGAAAATGTACCCCAATGACCCCACCCGAGGTCAGGATACACTCACCCGACATACACGCTCTTACCGTTGGTCTGGCGGGGAGTTAGCGATGATATTAATGCGCACTTCAGTGTTCCCGCCCTAGGTTTGAGTGCGCGACGCAACTAACCCCCTTAACGTTCTTAATTTACAGGATTGTTGCGATCTAATTTGTTCCATGACATACCCCGCCCGTCTTCTCCCCTAAAATCAGGTGCCCGTAAGACCGAGGGGCGCGCGTCGCGCTCCCCCCACGCGACCCCACGAGGTACTCCTACAAACTCTACTGTTCTAATTTATAGCTATTTTTAAGTCTCCGGAACTTGGACATTATCAAGAAAATTTTATTTTTCTTAACAAACACTTAATACTTCTCATAGTTCTTTTAAGTACTTAATATGCCTAATGCTGTTAAATATTATTACTCAGTTTTCGTAAATGCGATCACGCCGGTATGCGAGTAGTAATCAAACTTTTTCGGACTTAGGCCTGTTGCATGCAGCACAGGCAATACTGTATATTCACCCTTCGCGTGTTTTCCAACTAAGCCCAGATTGAATTCCACCACAGATACTTTAACAACCTCAAGTTTGAAGAAGTAAGAGGTCTGGGATAGGAATCAGGGAACATGTTAGTGCTTACCGGAACGAGTTTTCTCTTCTTCGAAGCAAAAACTGTCTTTATCGATCAGCAACTTGAAGGTGTGGCTGTACTTGTCGGTAGTGAGCTGATCGATCGCTTTCTCGTTTATTGCCTTGCTGTTCGTGTAGATTTTGACATGGGTTAGTGGCAGTTTGAGGGGAATATTATTCTAGAGGAAGGTATAGCTGGAGGCAAAAAAGGAGAATGGTTAGATGTGAAGCTGAAGTGTGGTGAAATTATCATAGGGGAATTACGACTTGCATAATGTCGATCTGCCGGCGTAATAGCGTTGAGTCAAGAAGGATTAGGGCTAGAGTTAATAAGAAATAGGAAGTAGAGACCCACTTCGAGTCTTCTAACCCAAAAATGTAATGTTCGCTAAATGACATCTCTCCGTATAAGAAATAGTTGATCGACGAAGAGCAAATATTTGTCAAGTAAAATTATCTGAACATTTTGAACCTCACCGCGATCAGAGGCATGCATCACACCAAAGAGGGGACAGCAGTATACTGGGATGGGAAGAACAAACATGCGATACATTTTTAACTTTATTTCCAGAAGGGAGAAATTATGTGGTATTAAACAACATGTCTGTGCAGTCTTTGCAGGAGTTCAATCCGTATGAGGCGACAGTGCTAGTTTATTTGTGCAACTTAGACCTAAGTCCTTCATGGTGGATCGTCCTAAAAGTGAAGTATTTCAAAAGACGGAGGGACCAGGAAGTATGGCTGGGCCAAAACACATGAAACTACACTTGGGTGACGAAAATTTCATCTGCAAGGTAGCAACCCAACGTGAGAATGTAAGCAGGTCTACGTTAATTTTTATCAACGCGTATATTGGCCTTGTCCTCAGAAAATGGATATATGCACTTAAGGTCGTCTACGTAAATGAGATTGTGTGAATTTTTTCAGGACTGTCGAAATTTTCTTTATGTATAGAATGAAGACTATAGGACCTAACACCGTGCCTTGAAAACTCCACTCGTGATCAGCTGAGCCATCGAGTAGCTATTTCCTATTAAGACCTTCTGCAAAGAATGCACTTAACAAGTGAGCCTTGTCCGTGTCTTCGAGAACGAAGTTTTTATCTTCGTTTAGTAAGGGAGGAATTTCGTGACCTCGTTTAGAGGGGGACCGATGACGGAACACTTTAGCAGCAGATGTTTCAGAGGTTAGATCGCTAAGTGCGCATGATTCCCTCTCTGTCACGTCCTAGACGAACCTTGGACGCCAATTCGAAAATCTCTGCGATCCTTAGATGCACAGACAACGGGCTAGTAGATCAATCGTTCAACTGCCTCCACAATTTCTTTAGTCTTCACAAAAGATAATTAGGGACGATCGATTTTGATGCGTAGGGTTTTGCAATTTCAGTGGGCTAATACTTCAGCATTTTATCAGAAACGAGCGACATGACTTCAGAAAGACATGCAGCGTCATTCATGGAGGAGAGACTCTGCCCGTCTAAAGAGTCAAGAAAATTATTGATTAAGATGAGATCTGCGAGATCATAAGCATGATAGGTACGGCCGGTGCTAGCCTTCTTTATTTAGGGCTTTTGGCCGGTTTGCTTAAGATTGTTGACCCAATTGCCGGCGCCGTGAGTTTTTCACAAGTGGGTCAACTAAAATAAATCTAGCGTTTTTCGCAGAAAGA